CTGAACATCCTTGAGTGCATTGACACTCACTGTGGCCTGCACGTTTAGACGTTTCAGCTTTCCACAAAGAGAGAGAGAGAGAGAGAGAGAGAGAGAGAGAGAGAGAGAGAGAGAGAGAGAGAGAGAGAGAGAGAAAGAGAGAGAGAGAGAGAGAGAGAGAGAGAGAGAGAGAGAGAGAGAGAGAGAGAGAGAGAGAGAGAGAGAGAGAGAGAGAACTAGAATCTGTTCAATCCAATGTTCAATGTGGCATGGGAGACGAACAGAAGAATGCACATCACTTATGTCATGCAAACATTAAGAAGTGCAAAGAATATGAATGAGAACAAAGAAACAACGAATGCCAAGTAAAGTAAAGTAGAAGGGAGAATGTCTAATGGGATGAATGAGGTAAGACACATCGATCTAGACATGTAATAGGGTGGGATGTTATAGCCATGGATAGAATTGGCAGGAAGGTAGAGGGTGTACAATTGGGCTGAAGCAATAAGTGGGAGGAACCATATAGGGAATACAGTGAACGAGATAGTATTGTGCAACAATGGATAAGAAGCTAAAGCAACTTAAGATCCTATACAATGTTCTCATGTACACTTGGGGTAAAACAAGGTGGATTCTAAAAAGAAGAGAGTTTTCACAACAGATAGGAGATAATGGAAAGAGGTAACAACAGTACAACAAAGTGATTTACGATTTTGAGAAGTACGTACCTATAGAAGTGTCAAAAGCAACGATAATATGGTCACTTCGAGATGCATCAGGTAACACGTGGTCGTGCTCACAACGGAATCCATCTAACGTGCAATCCCATCTGCAGGGACAACCGCAGACGATATCACTCACATCTGAAGACTTGTGCGTGCAGAGCCAAACTGTATCGACTGAAGTATTTTGAATGTCCACGCATATCGTGTGTGCTTGTACTGTCCCGTTTGCGTATACATAATCCTCCACCCCTGCCAGGCTGAAGAAATGGAAATATACAGGGACAACTAGATTATATGCTACTAGACCATGCAATGAAGCTCTTTAGTTTACCATCTTTTTCATTGCCCGTCAAAGCATTCAACCGCGGATGAAGAATCAAACTGACAGGGAATGGGAACCTTGGAAAGCCAAATCTGCACCTACCCTAATTAGTCGACGATCGCTGGCAAGATCTTGTATGTTTATGAGTTTGTAGAGGCAAAAGCTGAGGATCCCGTTTCAGTGACGATGTACTGATATGCTCATCTGCAAACTCTACAATCTCTTTGATGCCTTTCACACCGATAATTTTAGAAGATTTACTCCATAGAACCACATGCGTATGAGGCGCACCTCGACGCTGAAACTCATCCAAAGCGAAATAGTCTTGAACGCCTCCAAGAACAGGAGAATTCACATTCAACAAATGACAAAACATTGATTTCTTTTTGAAATCGTAGTACCGAGCACACATAACCGGATCGTTCCTCACTAATGAACATATTATGTTGTAATCCAAAGGTATGCTAGCACTATCGTCTATTTTTGCAAGATTTCCTCATAACTTGTTGACGTTCAAAAGCATATTATGAAGCTCAACCGATTTCGTGTCAGCCATTGATAATGTCAAGAAAAACGTAGGCCGACCTATTTGTCGCAAGATTGCAAAGAGATCGCATTTGCACTTATCTCTATATTGTTGTGTGGTACGAATTGCCTTGAAGTCATTGTACAGTGTATCCGTTTGTTGCAAACTTGCTCGTTTTGTTTCATTTACCATGTCTGCTGTTGGTGCAATCCTATGGCTTGCACTCGGCTTGTCGTCCTTGTTTGTGTGTGTGCATGCATGGCATGGAATGAATTGTGAGTCTATGTCAGTGCTATCTAGTGCTTGTGTGAATGTTTGAATGGTGTATCACAGTGTGGCTTGTGTCGGTCAAGACATTAGCGAGTTTTTACAACTCGCATGTCAAGTCGTCGTTTGTGTGTCGCATGTGTTTTTTCTATTTTGTCGAGTGTGAAGTGTCCATCGTGTCGCAGGTGTGTGCAGCAAGCCCCCATCAACGCAAGAAGAATTTATCTTGCAGATCCAAGAACAAGAGCTCAAGATTTCAAGCCCAAGGGACGCGGATAAATATTAAATAGTGAAAATAGTAACGTTACTTCGTGTAGTGTTACATTTCACTTGGGGTAGCCCCTTGGAGGGTTGGTTTCGAGACTCTTCATGGTTGGGGACTCTGTGGTGGTGTACCACCAACCTGGACCTCGGCTCTTGGGGTATCTAGAGGCTGGGAACCATCTCCCTCTCGAACTCTTCTTGATAAGTTTGTACTCCTAAGACTATAGTGGCTGCTGTACCTCCTACCAGTCAAACCGCCATAGCGTCGTCAGATCTTCATGAAATTTCATGATTCAACTTGCTGCTGATAGACGACAGCAACGCGCTCCAGATCCAATTTACAGATCACCGTTTGAGGCACAGATCAGATCGCCACCAAGTTTTGAAGCTGTCTGACCGAATTCTGACTGTCCTGAATTTCTCTCATTTTAGGCACATCTCTGAGCCTATTGTGATTATAACAAGTGGTATCAGAGCCCCTTGGAGCCGTCTCGACCATGCCTAGGCCTGAGGAAGGGGGTGGCAGAGGTGTTGGAGGCAGAGAAGACGCCCAAGCACAAGGTCAACACCAAGATCCACCCGTTGCTCCGGTGCAACCTAGCCTTGGACCCTCTAGGGATGAGCCTAGAGTGTTTGGCCTTGACAAGTTCAACGGTGACAACTTTGCTGAGTGGTCCTTCAAGATGGAGAACATCTTTGACCATTATGATCTGCTGGAGGTGATGGAAGGAGCGGAGAAGCGCCCCGAGAACGACCAGGAGAAGAGCCCGTGGGTGCGGAAGAGCGCACAAGGCTACCTTCTACTTGGGCAAGCGTTGGGGAGCAGCCAAATCCGTCACATCAAGCCTTTTCAGCGTGAACCAGCAAAGGGACCAAAGGCATGGGCTGCTCTCAAGGGTGTACACGCTCCTGCAACAGCGGCGGTGGCTGTGGTTTTGGAGCAGCAAATGGCGGCACTTCGAATTGACGAAGGCGAACCGGTGGAGGAAGGAGTGCAGAAATTCTTCGACTTATTGACACGGCTCGAAGGAGCTGACCTGAACTACAGTGACCTTCAAAAGAAGACCAAGCTGCTGGCCTTACTTCCGGACTCATGGTCCTCGCTCATCATCAACCTAAATCGAGATCTGCCCCGTCTCTCACTCGAAGATGTGAAGCGGGAAATCTTACAAGAAGATTTCCGCCGTCGCGAATTGGCGGGTCCCGATGGTGCCGGAGCTGCAAGCATGGGCCGTGGGCACGGCCGTGGAAGGGGCAGAGGGCGAGGAGGAAGATTTGGCAGCAGTAACTTCAGTGGAGGCCGTGGTAATGGAGGATATGGCAGCAACAACAACAATGGCTACGGGCGTGGGCGCGGTCGATTTGATGGCGAATGCCACTTTTGTCACAAGACCGGCCACATGTGGAGAGATTGCTTCAGATTGCCTGATGGATGGACCCCTTCTCAAGGCCAAGAGGGAAGAGGAGCAAGGGGAGGAAGAGGCAGAGGTCGTGGAGGCCGTGGTGGCCGTGGAGGCGAAGCGGCAAGCATGAAAGGTGGAGACTACGACAAGGACTCGAGTGAAGATCGATACCCGGGCCAATTCTTCTTTGTCTCCACACAAGCGGCAGCTGCAGCAGGAGGTGTGGAAGGCTTTGAGGAGCCAGCAACTGTGGGAAATGTCACCCTTCACTCTCTGGACTTTTGGGTGATCGATAGCGGCGCCACCTACAGCATGACACCTCGTGCGGACTTGCTCACCGAACTCGAACCGTCGCCGGTCAAGCATGTTACATCGGCTTTGGGGCAGCGAGCAGAGGTGAAAGGCATGGGCAAGGCCATGTTCAAGGGTGCTGATGGGAAGATGGTGGGCCTCAATAACGTGCTTTGGGTGCCCAACCTTGCAGCCAACCTGATCTCTGTTCGGCGTTTGCAAATGCCCGGCATGGACACATCTTCCAAGGGCTCCGAAACATATACCGCGAGGCTTGGTGAGCGGAAGCTTTGGGACCTTCATGAGGACAGGGACATCTACAATGAGATGTGGCAAATCCCAGTGGTCCCCATGCCTAAGGGGAGACAAGTGGCAGCAAGCGTCAGCACCAAGAGTGAAGCGGATGGTGGCGGTGATCACGGAAAAAAAAGTGACACCAAGAGTGACTCGAAGGAGTGCAATCTTGGAGAGACCAGGAAGGCGTGTGAACCCAAGGAGAGTGGTGCAGCAGCCAAAGGTGGTGGAAATGAGGAGGAGAATCCTAAGATCAGCAAAGCAGCAGCGGCAAAGGAGAAAGGAGAGAGCTTGTGGGGCACGATTGCGAGTGCCGCTTTCTCCAACCCGACTTCCGCTACGGGAGAGTGTGATTGGCTGACCTTGCATCGGCGAATGGGGCATGTGGCATTGCCCATTTTGCAGCAGATAGTTAAGCAAGAGATGGTCAGTGGGATACGTGTCAAGGGGGAGCCCAATGAGGTGCTTGGCTGTCCAACATGCATGCAAGCCAAGTTCACCCGCTACCCGTTCCATAGCTCGGAGACAACGGCAAAGGCACCACTTGATGAGGTGGTGATGGATGTGGTGGGCCCCTTGAAGCTTGGAGCTGCTGGAGCTGAGTACTTCCTCACCATTGTGGACGTCTACACTCGCATGACTTGGGTGTATGTGCTACCCAAGAAGAGTGACGTAGCTGAAACGGTGAAGACCGATTGGTTGCCGATGGTGGAGCGGCAACAAGACCGACTTGTGAAGGCGATTCGCACTGACCGTGGGGGAGAGTTCCTGAGCAAGGATTTCTCAACTTGGCTGAAGAAGCAGGGCATTAGGCACTCTCTTACCATGCTCCCACTCTCCTGCAATGAACGGCATCGCCGAGCGTGCGAATCGGACACTCACGGAGACGGCTCGGGGACTTCTCATTGAAGCCGGTCTACCCAATTACTTTTGTCCGGATGCGGTGCGGCATGCTTGTGTGGCCAAGAACAGAGCCTTGACTCATGTGGGAGAAGACAAATGGGTGCCCTATGTGGAGTGGATTGGAAGGAAGCCAAAGGTGGATATGCTTCGGGTGTTCGGGTGCATGTGCATGGCACTTGTGCCTAAGAAACTTCGGCACAACAAGCTTGATGCCAAGGCAACATGGGCCGTGCACCTGGGCATGGCCCAAAACAGCAAGGGATGGCTTCTATGGGACCCATTTACCAAGAAGTTCCTGGTGAGCAGAGATTGCAAGTTCATGGAGAACTTACCGTACAAGGAGTGGAAGGCGGAGAACCAAGCGAAGATTGGTGTGCGGCTTGGAGAGGTGAAGAGGACCGGCTTGGAGCATGTGGAGCTGCCCTTGGAGCTGAGTAGCAGCAGCACAATCACGAGGCAATCTCCCCAAATGAATGGGGATGAGGAGGAGGAGGAGGTGCAGCAAGGTAATGAGCGTGCACCGCCATTTCCGCCTCGTGCTACAAGTGCTCGCGGGAACCGACCGGACTTACCGCAAAGCCATGAGAGCATTCAAGTCCCTGCAGCAGAGGAGGAAGGAAGGGGGAGAAGGAGGACTCAGCCCCCTAATAGGTTGAGCTATGAACGGCTTGGAGGACCAGCCAACTCAACCTTGACCGGTTCGGCTCTCATGCTAGGCGATGATGCGGAAGATGAAAGCGAGGAGTGCGCTTTTGCCTTCTTCTCTCCGGTGGAGATACCGGGGGAGCCTACAAATCCCAAGGAGGCTTGGGAGGGCCCCAATGGGAAGGAGTGGAAGAAGGCCTGAGATGAAGAAATGGGGAGCATCATCGAGAACGACACGTTTGACTTGGTGAACCTACCTCCGGGGCGGAAGGCGATCTCTTCCAAGTGGCTCTTCAAGCGCAAGACCGACGCCGACGGCAACATCGAGCGCTACAAGAGCAGACTTGTAGCCAAGGGGTATCAGCAGCAAGAGAAGAAGGACTACAATGAAGTGTATGCCCCTGTGGTGAAGGGTACAACCCTTCAAACCCTCTTCGCCGCGGCGGCCATCAAAGGATGGGTGGTGAAGCAAATGGATATCGTAACGGCCTTCCTCAACGGCGTTTTGGAGGAAGAGACCTTCATGGAGCAGCCAGAGGGGTACAATGATGGGAGTGGCAGAGTGTGGAAGCTGAAGAAAGCACTCTATGGCCTCAAGCAAGCCCCTAGGCAATGGTACATCAAGCTGCGGGAAGTCTTGGAGGCGATCGGCTTCACTCCCTCAACGGCCGATCAATCCTTGTTCATGCTTGGCGAGGGGGAGAAGAGGAGCTTCATGGTGGTTTATGTGGATGACATCCTCATATTCTCACCCTCCTCTGACCTTGTGAAGGAGGTGATGCTGAAGCTTCAAGACAAGTTCAAGTGCAAGACCCTTGGTGACGTCAACTACTACCTTGGGCTTCACATTGAGCGAGATGTGGAGAAGCGGTGGATGCGAGTGCATCAAAAGAAGTACTTGGAGGCCTTGGCTGCAAACTTTGGGAAGATTGAAGGTCATGTGGCTACTCCTCTTCCCTCAGGGTTCAAGTGTGTGAAAGGACCAGCGGAGGAAAGTGTTGGTGAAGAGGAGAGGCGCCGTTTTCACTCCTTGGTGGGCAGCCTCATGTATGCGGCCGTTCACACAAGGCCGGATGCAGCCTTTGCTACCGGGCAGCTGGCTAGGGTTGTCCAATGCCCTAATGAGGAGCAGGTAGCTGCTGGAGAGAGGGTGGCCAAGTACCTTGGCCAAACAGCAACTGTTGGACTGCAATACTCCGCGGCGGCACAAAGGCGTCAAAAGGGTGCGGATGGAGTCGAACCCGGGAGGCTCTTTCTCACCGCCTTCTCTGATGCATCTTGGGCATCAGATCCAGAGGACATGACAAGTGTGGGAGGCTTCACCTGCTGTGTTGGTGGAGGGCCAACAGCTTGGGAGAGCAAGAAACAAGTGGACCAAGCATTGAACTCGGTGGAGTCCGAGTACATGGCACTCTTCCGTGCCATAAGAGAGGTTGTGTGGCAGCGGCGTTTGCTAGCTGAATTGGGGGAGGAGCAGCAAGGACCTATCCCACTCTACTGTGATAGCCAAGGTGCTATTGCATTGGCTAAGAACTCCGTTCTTCATGGCCTTACCAAGCACATGAAGGTGAAGTGGCATTGGGTGAGGAGCATGGTAACCGCGGGTGAAGTGGAGTTGCACTACGTGAAAACGACGGTGCAGCCAGCTGATATGATGACCAAGAGGCTGGTTGAGCAGCAGCATTGGAAGTGTTGCAAGCTTGCTGGGATGGCTCAGAACTAAGGGGAGCAGATTCTAAGGCCAACAATCCGAGGGGGAGTTTGTTGGTGCAATCCTATGGCTTGCACTCGGCTTGTCGTCCTTGTTTGTGTGTGTGCATGCATGGCATGGAATGAATTGTGAGTCTATGTCAGTGCTATCTAGTGCTTGTGTGAATGTTTGAATGGTGTATCACAGTGTGGCTTGTGTCGGTCAAGACATTAGCGAGTTTTTACAACTCGCATGTCAAGTCGTCGTTTGTGTGTCGCATGTGTTTTTTCTATTTTGTCGAGTGTGAAGTGTCCATCGTGTCGCAGGTGTGTGCAGAAAGCCCCCATCAACTCAAGAAGAATGTATCTTGCAGATCCAAGAACAAGAGCTCAAGATTTCAAGCCCAAGGGACGCGGATAAATATTAAATAGTGAAAATAGTAACGTTACTTCGTGTAGTGTTACATTTCACTTGGGGTAGCCCCTTGGAGGGTTGGTTTCGAGACTCTTCATGGTTGGGGACTCTGTGGTGGTGTACCACCAACCTGGACCTCGGCTCTTGGGGTATGTAGAGGCTGGGAACCATCTCCCTCTCGAACTCTTCTTGCTAAGTTTGTACTCCTAAGACTATAGTGGCTGGTGTACCTCCTACCAGTCAAACCGCCATAGCGTCGTCAAATCTTCATGGAATCTTATGATTCAACTTGCTGCTGATAGGCGACAGCAACGCGCTCCAGATCCAATTTAAAGATCACCGTTTGAGGCACAGATCAGATCGCCACCAAGTTTTGAAGCTGTCTGACCGAATTCTGACTGTCCTGAATTTCTCTCATTTTAGGCACATCTGAGCCTATTGTGATTATAACATCTGCAGCTGTTAGCGACTGCATTTTATTGATTTTTTCCTGCCTAACCCTTGTCGCAACAACGCTTTGAATTTGTAATATCTCCTTTTTGTACATTTTGAAAAATATATTTGGAATATTCGCGGAGCACCGACCGCTTGCATGTTTAAGCTCCCATTTGATAGCATTTAAGTACGATATATTGAGCTGACGATGACAAGAAGATCTGCGTTGGCCACAATAAATCGACGGAAAGCTTAGTTCCTCAACACCTTTGCCTAGCACTATAGACATCGGCCGTGAATGCTCGCCAGGTGCAATTTGCACGATGGATTGGGATGGCTGCTGATAAAATTGCTCTTGTGTTAAGAGCGTATCGAGCACAACAACATTGTGTGGCTCGGCTTCATCACTTTCGGTTGAAGATAAAGAAGCTACCTCGATGTCATTTGACACCAACATGGTATTGTTCGTATCTTCGAGCAATTTTGCATTCGTTTCATCAAGACAGATATCGTATTCTTTAAAAAGGTATTGTTCACATAGGAACTGCAATGCTTTACGAATCTTTGTCGGTCGTACATTTTCTTCGTACGCGTTATTTTTATTCTCCATCTTGCGTTTTAATCGTATTGTAACCGTATGTGAGTCATCTTGCAGACGTGGTAATGATTGTACCATTTTGTCTACGTCAACTGGAATATTTATGACTCCACCACATATACCAAATTGCTTACCAAAAGATAAGGAAGAAATCTTCATGAAAGGACTACGTGGGCTTACAAGACGTTCTTCTAATATTGTTAGGTCTTGCAGTACGATTGGTCTTGAAGGAAAGCCATTCTCGTTGAGTGAAGCTAATGGTGATACTTTGTTGTTTTCATATTTTGCACAATATCGACACACGCATTGCCCTGCTTTTGAAGACTTTGACCATACTATGTTATGCTCGAAGTTTAAGGTACCACACAATGCACATTCTATATCAGGTCTGCTATTACAATCTTTGAGGAACTTTTCCATGTATTGGTTATTCTTTTCCATGCTAGCAAACGGGCTGATGGTAACATTTCTGAATTTCTCATCCAGAAATTCATTCGGAACAAAAGTGCAATTTTCATTATGTAATCCAAACTTCACGTCCAACATATATTTTTTTGACGCACCTACTTTTGTGTATACAAAATATGATCGACCGTAAGCAGCATCAAACGCATGCTGAAAGCCCGAATATGTGTACGCTTTCTTGTGGTGTTTTACAACAAACTTGAAGCCGTAAGCAGTTGCTCTTACACCGATGAAGGGAGGCTCTGGTAAAATTTGTAGCTGCAACATTGACTCGCAGATGCAAAACAGATCTCGAAGACCGTAGACAGCTTTTTGTACCTGGGTTTCTAGCCCATACAGATGTGACATCGTCTTTTGCTCGCTCTCCGTAACCATTGTGCTCACCGTACGAGATGTATCTTTGACACATGAAGTGTTGTCAATGTTATCCGACTGATAAGCATCATCCAAAACATTGGAGGACTGGGATCCTAATTTTGAAGTGGCATCATCCGACAAAGCGAGAGAACACACCACAGAAGGATGTGCCCCATTGCTTACCCGGTTTCCAGGTACATGACGATTACGCAAATCCTCACACATTTGGAACTCGTCTTGTTGTAGCTCCATGCTTACAGTATGCTTAGTATCACTGTTGCTGACACATACCTTGTAGTGCCATTTTTCGAGAGGAACATTCATGATCTGTTGCTGTACACCTTTATCAATATCACAACATTTCTCATCTAGGCACCTATCATTCCTCATCTGACGTTGTAAGTCATGTGATAAGGCTCCACTCAATGTATTCTTCCTTAGAACGGTCATTGGAACGTCAATGAGCTTTGTCTTATCTACTCGGTTGTCTCACATTGTACCATTACTACATGGCCCTAAAAATGACATACGTCGTGCTACTGATACACATCTAGTGCCATACATGACTCCAAACTCTGATGGCACCAATAAAGAATAGTGATTAGCTGACAAATCAAAAAGTAAATGCATCACTGGTCGAGATGCACTCGCACGGAAACACGCAATAAAATGACTTGTGAAGGGCCAAATAATTGAATTTGTATCGAAAACAATCGAAAGGCCTTCACCTCAGTGATAGAGCCCCACTCTTTACGGCATGAAATGTGTGCACAATACTCGTCACCGCTGGCAAAATTTTGCCTATACGAAGTGTTCGCTATGGTCGGATAATCATATTCCAGTTTGTTCCATTCCAAAGCCACATGATCAATAAGGCGTTGTTTCACCTCTGGGTAATCATCTTGTGTACCAAACAACCACAAGGATAAGCTACGATAGACGCAATTACCATCTGGAAAAATCGGGCAAAATTTTAACATGTACTGTTTTTAATAGTCACCATCAAATCTCTCACCGGTAATTATGACACTAGAATTTGATGATGACGCCATGTTTCTCCGAAAACTAGTGAAGAAAACATATATATAGAGAGAGAGAGAGAGAGAGAGAGAGAGAGAGAGAGAGAGAGAGAGAGAGAGAGAGAGAGAGAGAGAGAGAGAGAGAGAGAGAGAGAGAGCGAGCTATAAAGGCCCTCTCCTCCCAGCTCATTCCTCATTATTCTTTTTCGACCTTGGATAAGTTTTCTGGTTTTGGCGGCCGGCTCGCGCCGAGAGAGAGAGCGAGCGAGAGAGAGAGAGAGAGAGAGAGAGAGAGAGAGAGAGAGAGAGAGAGAGAGAGAGAGAGAGAGAGAGAGAGAGAGAGAGAGAGAGAGAGAGAGAGAGCGAGCTATAAAGACCCTCTCCTCCCAGCTCATTCCTCATTATTCTTTTTCGACCTTGGATAAGTTTTCTGGTTTTGGCGGCCGGCTCGCGCCGGCGGCCTACGGCCGCGCAGCGGGACTGGTGGAACTGATCAGCTTCAATAGGTAGAATACACTATTACACAACCAGCATCTCAGACAGTGGATCCTGATTCAAACTAGAGACATCCCAAGATTTCTCCTAGCTCGTAGCACTCCCTGTATCCTCTGTACCCTGCACACGGCGTGTTTAACCCGCTATGGGCGTGAAGAGGACGAAGACCCGACCGCTGTTCACTCCGGCGGGAGCAGTCGCGCCATCCCCTGTTGCACAGCGCGAAGAACTGCAGCAGACGCCGCCGCAAGGCCTGATGCAGTCTCAGCCGACACGGCGCGAGACAACTCCGTCACGGCGAGGGGGCCAGCAGCGGCCTCATTTACAACCACCCGCGGCGGCAGAGGCACATACACCAGACCCCACAGAAGCATGGCGACAGCCTCCTCGGCCCGAGCACGCTGCCGACGGGACAGCACGGGTTCACGGGCCACAGGCGGACGCCGCACGAGGGCAAGGTGCAACACGTCCAGCAACTCTGCCACCCAACCGAGGCAGTCCACGAGACCCAACAGCTGTTGCGAGCGACTATAGTGTGGGCCATCCCTCACACGACGGAGCCGCGGTACCCGCGGAGGCGGCGAACGACGGAGCCGAATACCCCGAGGAAGCCCCACAAGAGAGGCGCCCGAGCTCCGATAGAGCTCACGAATGCAGGGTTCGGACAGCAAGCGGCGCCGAGGCTGGCCTGATGCCCCACGGCCAGGGATCTCCGACGCAGGCACATGAGAACCCGACGAGGCCTCCGCAAGGGACGAGGGACCAACGGGGTGTGGAGCGCTCCACACACGTTGATGACTCCGCGGCGAGAGAAGCAGATCCATCGTTGACCCCAGGAAATCAGCAGCAGCAGTTACCCCGAGGAGAGGAAACCAGCGCAAGACGGCAACGCGGTGATAACGAGGCTAGAAGCCCGATGAATGGGCAGAGCGAACCAAGTCGGGTACAGGGGGGGGCGCGCGAATCAGGGGGGGAGACTCAGCAAGCGAGAGGACGGGGGCGGGGGGGAAGACGGCGGGGCACAGGGGGGCGGCTAGGTGTGCGCCCGTCGAGGCGGAGAAGACCGATGTCCAGAGAAGGGGACTGGAGGGAGCGACACGTACGACCACTGAATCAGCCAACTGCCGAAGAACGAGGAGAGGAGGATGAGACTCACGAATCCAGCGGGGAGGAATTTGTAGGGGAAGCACCGGAGGAATCAGAGGCAGGGGGAGTATCAGTAGGAACCTCCGAGGGGAGGCAAACGGAGGCCAAGGACATCGAGCCGCACCTCAGCGACCGTGCCAGACCGGAGTAGTGCCTGGGGTCCCAGAGCCGGACCTACCCCAACCCCGCTCACCAGAAGACCTCGCCAATGACGAGGATCTCTGGAGGTTGGTCACAGGGTGGGAAACCCCCAGGCTTGTGAGTTCCCGCCAACCATTCCTGGTCAGATATTTACCCCCAAAAATCCTGGAGACATATGCGGATTGCCTTCTGGTCCCGCTACTGCGCATTCAATCAAACCCGGGCTGCAAGGGGGGCTGGCGAATGCTACAATTCCTTCCCAGACTCACGCTTCGACCCACGCCAGCCCACGAACCACGGTGGCAATCCCTCTGCCGACGACTTCAGCAATTCAGGCGGGGGAATTGGGAGCAGCTATTCGCCGAAGCGGCCGACACTGGGCCCGACACACCTGCTGCCCATACCAAACCCGACCCAGCTGGGCTCCGTGGGAAGGCTGAAGGCCTGGTTCGGAAGGCAAACCTGTCAAAAGCCCTTCGCGCATTACACCCGTCGCCGACCTCGCCACCCACGCCAGCAACACTTGAAATCCTTCGCCAAAAACACCCAGCTGGCGAAAGGGAAGTTGGGCAGGCCTTCGACCAGCCACCGGGCAACCACATCGCCATTGAGGCAGAAGCTTTTCGCCGACTATTGGCGAAATGCCCAAGAGGAGTGGGAGCGGGGCCTTCGGGCACCTGCTATGAGCACCTACGGGACCCAGCAGTAGCCAACCCCCAGGTGTTTCTACTGCTGCTGCACGCCATCAACCTTACGCTCCAGGGAGCCGTAACACTTGACACACGAGCAGAACTGCTGCCCTGCAAACTAATTGCGCTCACTAAGCCGGGGGGTGGCGTGCGTCCTATTGCGATAGGCGAGACCCTCCTACGAATCGCTGCCAAAGCCGCGCTACAGGAGCTTAGCTCGGTGATCCGTGCCTATTTCTTACCACACCAATTCGGTGTCGCTGTCTCGGGAGGCGCGGAGTTCATTATCCACGTCGTACGGGCCCTGCTCCAGCTGTTCCCCACGCACGTGGTGTTACAAGTAGACGTGGAAAACGCCTTCAACAGCAATCTCCGCCCCTGCTTCCTCGAGGTCCTGCGAGGAAATGGCCTGGACCCTCTCCTCCCACTCACCCTTACACTCTACGGTACTCCGTCCCAATTACTTCTGGACGCGGAATTCGGAGCAGAGGGCATCATCTCAAGCCGAGGAGTACGCCAAGGGGACCCGCTGGGGCCCCTCCTCTTCGCCGCAGCCATCCAACCGGCCTTGACCACAGTAGCCGCGGCCAACCCAAAGGTGACGATCCTGGCGTACGCCGACGACATCACCATGGTCGGCCCGCCACGAGCAACAGCGGAGGCATTCGGGCAGCTGCAGAAGGCACTTCGGGTCTGCGGCCTCCGGTGTTCCCCAAGCAAGTCCACCGGCTGGTCACCAACGCCAGCAAGCTGTCGGCACCTCCCAGCCGGTATCACTCCAGCAGCGGGAGAACTACGTGTCCTGGGCAGCCCGGTGGGAGACGATGGGTTCTGCACCACATTCCTGCGTAAGGAACTGCAACTGGCGGCCGAACCCCTACCCCTTCTGGCCGGCCTCCACCCCCAGCACTCCCTCCTCCTCCTATCCTGGGGGATCTCTCGCCGAGCCGCCTTTCTGCTGCGGTCAACGCCAGTAGACACCATCCCCCTAGCAGAATGGAGGAAGTGGAGCGAGAACCTGCTGCATACGGCACTGGCTGCAGCAAGGATCCAAGCCCCACGAGGAGAAATGGACTGGAGCCTAACCTGGCGGCAGGCGACACTACCCATCGCCCTGGGGGGGCTCGGCCTTGTCGACCCCACCTCGGAGGGGCCAGCTGCACACCTCGCCTCTCTCCTGGCCGCAACAAACCTCCTCACCACCCTTAAACTGCCGGATGGACCTCTACGAGCGGTACTCACCCACATGCAGGCGGGGGCAGAGGGGGACCTACCACACCACGCCCTCATCCGAGACCTGGAAGCCAGGCTGCCGGTCCCAGCCAGGCTGACCCTGTCAGAAGCCCGCTCCACACACCCAAGGGGACAGCTGCAGGAGCGGCTCTCCCGCGACATCAACCACCTACGCGCGGAAGAGCTGTTCGCAGACACCCTACTGGATAGGCCGGGCAAGGAGAACGCCCATGGCACTCGACTGACGGCGCTGCGGGGAATAGGGGCAGGGGACTGGCTGCTCGCTATCCCCACTCGGCCGGACCTGACCTTCTCCCCAGGGGAGTTCAGCACAGCACTGGCTTTTAGGATGGGCCTACCCCAGCCAGTATCCGGTGGCTGCTCATGTGGGGACCACATCCCGGATCCCAGTCTGCCCAACCACATCCTCCGGTGCAAGCGTGGAGGCTATGTGAAGCGCCTCCATGATGCCCTGGTTTTTTCGGTCCTGCGCATGGCCCGGGAGGCCAAGTACTACACCTACCATGAGACCACCCACTTCACGAACCCCACCAACCGGAAGCGAGCAGACCTGGCAATCCGGGACATGGAGAGTGGGGAGACCTGGGTAACAGACGTTACAGTGACGGACCCGATCCTACAGCGGCGAGACACAGACGCAGGGGGATTACCGGGATGGGCAGCACTGGAGGCGGCGCGGGCCAAGGAAAGAATATACAAGGATCAGCCGGACTGGGTGGGGTTCTTCGCCCTGGCGGTGGAGACCTATGGGGCTCTCGCACCGGCCACAGCACGATGTCTTCGGATGATGGCGAACCATGCGGCGCTGTGTCGGTTCCGGGCCAGTCCGCTCTCCACTCCCGCCGAGAAGCTATACTCCCAGTTCCGGCAGCGCTGGGCGGTACTACTGCAGAGGTTGCAAGCCAGCACTCTCATTACTAGGTCGGGGGCGGCTCTACAGGCCGCATACCCGCCACCTCGGGGTGACCCCTGGTCTCCCTCCCACGGGGACCTGTGGGGGACTTTAGATGTGGAAGACCTGGTGGGCAGGGGGGAATAGAGAGGAGGTGCAGGTGGTGATGGAGCTTGCGGGCCTTGGTTGCCTACACCCCTCTTTCCAGCAGGGATGATGTTGCTTAGTTGTACCCAGGATTTCTCAATGATAAGGACCGCTTGAGAGAGAGAGAGAGAGAGAGAGAGAGAGAGAGAGAGAGAGAGAGAGAGAGAGAGAGATGGAAATGGATGAGATGTGAGAACTACAAGGTTCTAGTGCAACAATGCTCATTAATTGGCATGGTTTAGCCCTAGGGGCGGCCGCGACGGCAGGAGTGACCGTGAGGCGGATGGAGACGGCAGTGACAGCAGCTAGGGGCGGCCGCGACGGCGAGGGGGGGGGGGGCTAGGGACGGGCGCGACGGCCAGGGGGCCGGCTAGGGGCGGACGCGACGGCCAGGGGGCCGGCTAGGGACGAGTGCGACGGCCAGGGGGCCGGCTAGGGGCGGAAGCGACGGCCAGAGGGCCGGCTAGGGACGGGCGCGACGGCCAGGGGGCCAGCTAGGGGCGGACGCGACGGCCAGAGGGCCGGCTAGGGGCGGACGCGACGGCCAGGTGGGCGGCTAGGGACGGATGCGATGGCCAGGGGGCCGGCTAGGGGCGGACGCGACGGCCAGGGGGCCGGCTAGGGGCGGACGCGATGGCCAGGGGGCCGGCTAGGGACGAGCGCGACGGCCAGGGGGCCGGCTAGGGGCGAATGCGACGGCCAGGGGGGCAGCTAGGGACGGACTCAACGGCCAGGGGGCCGGCTAGGGACGAGCGCGACGGCCAGGAGGGCCGGCTAGGAGCGGGGCACGACGGTGGCTAGGGCCTAGGGGGTAGAAGCGTGGGCGGGAAAGGAGGGGAACCTAACCTACTATGATACCATATCAGAAAGAATAATTGAACTAGAATGTGTGAGTACAAGGGTATATAGACTAGGGTGTTGTACCCTCTAAGGCACAATCCATTATAGTCTACAGTAACGACCTAAGTTACATTTGACAATAACATCCTGCAACACCTGTTGTTGGGCTGATAAAAGCCCTTAGGATCTTTCCAGAGACTAAGTCCCAGTTGTAAAATGAGACTTGAGTAGTGCAGCGGAAGTTGAGGCAGTTGAACCCTTGTACTAGTATATGAGAACAAGTGATTGACTAAAGAAACAAGCATACAGCAATATATAGAGGATAAGAAAGCAGTTGTAGAATACAGTTACAGGAACGGTTTATCGAGTCGCACAGCGACTCGATTGCCGCTTCGGTTACCATCCGTGATGTTGTAACGGTCAGTCGTAACCTCCAGTTGCGACCTTTCGAGTCTTTTCGCATTCTTTGTCCGCCCCCTCGTGCAACCTCCGTTGACTCGCGTGCTCCCCTGTAATCTTCCTCGATTACAGTGTTATACTTCAGAAACGCTTAAGTCTTTTGAGATGTTTCCAACACCTGTCAAATTATTACAAATATAAATAATATAATCATCATGTGTATATTTGAATGAATAAACCGTTGATGTGACCTAAAAAAATGTGATAGGCATGTATTGTGCTCAACGCGGTTATTGTAATACGATATAATTCACATCTGTACATTTTCTCTCATCCACATCATAAAGGATCAACTATATTCACTATTTATAGTATCATAAATATTCTTATAGTATGATTATGAGATGTGTTGATTTCCAACCAAACAATAGCATTCCTCACAACAACACAATTATCAAATGTAAATTCAAATTGTATTATTATTACGATTCCACACATTCGAAATCTACAGTCCACGCAATCTCCGACGCTTGTGCGTCGAGCCTTGTTTCGCGACACATTCGCGATGGCTTTCACGACATTATCGAAATCCGTTACCTGCCGTTCTGTTCGGATTTTGGTGTTGTTCGTACTGAGAGGTCACACGCCCTAACTTTTGTTACCCAGAATGTAAAAACATTAATTTTTTTAGGGCGGACAACAGTATTCCATTGGAGGACTCTTAGGGTCCAATTTTGGGGACTGTCAATCTTCGGATCAAGCAACGTGACACGAGGAATAGACAGCCACAGGCAATTTTTTAGGCTTCGTTCCATGTTTTGCCAGGAGTCGCTACACTAGGAGTCAGGCACGAAAAGCTGACACCTACCCGGAATCATCCTGTATATCCACGAGCTATGCGCTACACGACGATGCTCGCTCGTGCTTTCACGTCTCCCGATACTCTCATTCATTCCTCCCCACGCGCCTCCTCCGCACGGCGTTGCGCCGCCAGCGGCAACGCGGCAGCCGCGTTATTACAGTACCGGTACCTGACCCCCCTTACGTGACCACCTCTCACCTGACCGCCGCAAACCTGACCGCCCATACTGACCGCCCCATCATGGCTGACCGGCCGCCGCAGCTAGCGACGTCCGGAGGCAACGGTGCAGCGTCTGTGGGCGGCGATAAGGGGCTCATTCCGCGGTCGAACAAGGAGTACCTCAATATCGAGTACTGGTGAGTGCTGGCGCGCGGAGAAGAGAGACTCAGACGAGGATGCTGGGGGAAGGGAGGTGGCGTTAACGCGGGGGGGAGGTGGGGGAGGAGGGGAAAGGTACGATAGGAGGGGGGAAGGAGGGGGGGGAAGGGAAAGGTGGAAGAGAGAGGGGGAGGGGGGAGGGGAGTGGGTTCTTTTCGCTCCGCGTTTTAGTGGACCCTGAAATTCAAACCCCTGAATGAGGACGTGTTTAGGGTGTGAGGCGTGAGTGCGGAGGGGGGAAGAGGGGGGAGTGGAGCATGATTTAGTTGCAATGCATTGCATTGCGTGACCTAACCTCATCGAAATGATTCCCAACGACCCATGGCATGGCGTGGCATGGCATGGCATGGTGTGGCGTGGTTACGGTATGGCATGGCATGGAATGGCATGGCGTCAGGGACAAGCGGTTTGCAGTGGAGGAGTCGTTTGAGTGGTGCGGCGACTACTCGCAGTTCAAGCACCTGCTGCTCCGCCACATCCAACCCTGCGATAGGGTATATACAACATCGCCCCATCGCCCATCGCCCCTACACACACATCGCTGCTTCCCTCGCCTCGCTCTCGTGCTTCCAGCAGCTCTCCCCTTTCCGCGTCACCTCCAGCCACCTGCCACTCTAACCCACTCTGCTTTTTGTCCCTCCCTCTCCCTCTCTCGCTTCCCCTTCCTCTCCCTCTCCCCTTCCCCCCTCCCCCCCCCGCTTCCCCTTCCTCTCCCTCTCTCGCTTCCCCTTCCTCTCCCTCTCCGCTTCCCTTCCTCTCCCTCTCTCGCTTCCCCTTCCTCTCCCTCTCTCGCTTCCCCTTCCTCTCCCTCTCTCGCTTCCCCTTCCTCTCCCTCTCTCGCTTCCCCTTCCTCTCCCTCTCTCGCTTCCCCTTCCTCTCCCTCTCTCGCTTCCCCTTCCTCTCCCTCTCTCGCTTCCCCTTCCTCTCCCTCTCTCGCTTCCCCTTCCTCTCCCTCTCTCGCTTCCCCTTCCTCTCCCCTCTCTCGCTTCCCCTTCCTCTCCCTCTCTCGCTTCCCCTTCCTCTCCCTCTCTCGCTTCCCCTTCCTCTCCCTCTCTCGCTTCCCCTTCCTCTCCCTCTCTCGCTTCCCCTTCCTCTCCCTCTCTCGCTTCCCCTTCCTCTCCCTCTCTCGCTTCCCCTTCCTCTCCCTCTCTCGCTTCCCCTTCCTCTCCCTCTCTCGCTTCCCCTTCCTCTCCCTCTCTCGCTTCCCCTTCCTCTCCCTCTCTCGCTTCCCCTTCCTCTCCCTCTCTCGCTTCCCCTTCCTCTCCCTCTCTCGCTTCCCCTTCCTCTCCCTCTCTCGCTTCCCCTTCCTCTCCCTCTCTCGCTTCCCCTTCCTCTCCCTCTCTCGCTTCCCCTTCCTCTCCCTCTCTCGCTTCCCCTTCCTCTCCCTCTCTCGCTTCCCCTTCCTCTCCCTCTCTCGCTTCCCCTTCCTCTCCCTCTCTCGCTTCCCCTTCCTCTCCCTCTCTCGCTTCCCCTTCCTCTCCCTCTCTCGCTTCCCCTTCCTCTCCCTCTCTCGCTTCCCCTTCCTCTCCCTCTCTCGCTTCCCCTTCCTCTCCCTCTCTCGCTTCCCCTTCCTCTCCCTCTCTCGCTTCCCCTTCCTCTCCCTCTCTCGCTTCCCCTTCCTCTCCCTCTCTCGCTTCCCCTTCCTCTCCCTCTCTCGCTTCCCCTTCCTCTCCCTCTCTCGCTTCCCCTTCCTCTCCCTCTCTCGCTTCCCCTTCCTCTCCCTCTCTCGCTTCCCCTTCCTCTCCCTCTCTCCTTCCCCTTCCTCTCCCTCTCTCGCTTCCCCTTCCTCTCCCTCTCTCGCTTCCCCCCTCTCCCTCTCCCCCCTTCCTCTCCCTCTCTCGCTTCCCCTTCCTCTCCCTCTCTCGCTTCCCCTCCCTCTCCCTCTCTCGCTTCCCCTTCCTCTCCCTCTCTCGCTTCCCCTCCCTCTCCCTCTCTCGCTTCCCCTTCCTCTCCCTCTCTCGCTTCCCCTTCCTCTCCCTCTCTCGCTTCCCCTTCCTCTCCCTCTCTCGCTTCCCCTTCCTCTCCCTCTCTCGCTTCCCCTTCCTCCCTTCCCTAACTTGCTCCCCTCCTCCCTTCCTCTCCCTTTCCCCCATCTGTGCACCTGTCTCTCTCCCCCTCTCCCTACACCATCCCACCTCACCACACCCCTCCCCACCGCGCCAGGTGCTAATCCTGGGCAACGGCACGTCGGACCTGCCGGAGTGTCTGTGGCGGGACGGCAGGCGCCACATCACGGCCACCGACCTCTCGGCACTCGTTGTCCACCGCATGGCCATGAGGAGCATGGTCAACGGCTCCGCTGCTTGCACTGCTGCTGCACCACCTGCTGCTGATGATGATGACCATGATGATGATGCTGGGCCTGATTGCTCAGGCGCACGCTGTGAGAAAGCAGGGTGCGCACCGAGTCGAGAGGCCTGTGCGGACACACAACCTCCACCGCAGCAACCACAGCCGCCGCAGCAGCAACAGCAGCAGTCTTCCTCACCCCCCGCCGCCCCTGCAGGCAGCGGCGATGCCCCTGCGATAGCGGGAGGCAGAGAGGGGGGGTCGCAGTGTGCATGTGCGGGCCATGGAGGCAACTGCAGTGCTGCTGCTGACAGCAGCAGCGGGGATGGGCCATGCTGTGATAATGGCACCAGCAGCAGCAGCAGCAGCAGCAGCAGCGGCGGCGGCGGCAGCACGGTGTGTGAGTGCGGCGGGGCAGCGGGCATCACGTGGGCGGTGGCGGACATGATGGCTCTGCCCTTCCCCGATGGCCACTTCGACGTCGTGCTCGAGAAGGGCGTGCTGGTGAGGAAGGGGGGGATGGTGAGGAAGGGGGGATGGTGGGGAAGGGGGGGGGATGGTGAGGAATGGGGGGGATGGTGAAGAAGAGGGGATGGTGAGGAAGGGGGGGATGGTGAGGAAGGGGGGGTTGGTGAGGAAGGGGGGGGGATGGTGAGGAAAAGGGGGGGGATGGTGAGGAAGGGGGGATCGTGAGGAATGGGGGGATGGTGAGAATCCCATGCTTGTGCGATGAGGGTTGTTGGTGGGAAAATGTTTTTGGGGGACCCATCCCGCCCTTGTAACCACCAGCACCAATGCCAGGGAGCCATTGAATTAGATGGCTGGGTTGGGGGGAGCACCATCCGTGCTGGCCTTCATTCCGACAACACCTGGTGTTGCAGCTAGGATAGGAGCCCGTGTTGTTGCTTGCAACGCCAGGTGCCTGCGGTGCGGTGAACTCTGGCCCCCTATCCATACCCTGTAATCCCACTTTCTCCCCTCTTGTCCCAGCTCCTGCTTTTTTCATAATAGCTGTGCTCCAACGGGCCACTTCCCTTGCACACCCCTTCCCTCCCCCACTTTCCCCCCCCCTCCTCACCCACTCACACTTTTGTCTGCCCCGGTTCCCTCCCCTCCTCCACCCTTTTCCCACGCTCTTCCCGTTTCCTCCCCTTATCCCCCCTATACCCCCCGCTCCCCCTCCCCCGCTCCCCCTCCCCCGCTCTCCCCAACCCCCCCAGGACGTGCTATTTGTGGACAGCGAGTCGCCCTGGCACGTGCCGCCTGCCATTGTGCGCCGTGTGCGCACCGCCCTCACCGAGGCGCACCGCGTGCTCACCCCGCACGGCCGCCTGCTCTCCATCACCTTCGGCCAGGTGCACTGCGAAGAGGAGAGGGGAGGGAGGAAAGGGGGAAAGGGAGGGGGGAAGGGGGGAGGAGGGGTGGTTGGGGGTTGGGGGGGGAAGGACCCGGGGGCTTAGGTGCCACCTGGTCTCTGTCACTCCGGCCAAGTGCGCTGCAAGGAAGGGGGACTTGGTAGGGGGGGGGAAGAGGAAAGGGCGGAGGAAGTGGAGGGGGCGGGGAGGAGTGTAGGGGGTTGTGGGTTTGAGAGGGTGGCAGCAAGCAGACGAGCAGCAATCAGGCGCCATGAAATGGCTGATGGGCACTGGAGCCAGGAGAGGGAAGCAGAGGGAAGATGGGGAGGGAGATAGCTCTGTGCCCTTCTTAGACAGCGCTGTGTGCGTGTTAGGCATGCGCATGTGTTACCTTGTTCGCGATTCAACCGGCGTTTGTCCTGCAGCATGCGTGCGATCATCCTCACCTCACAGCTTCCCTCACTCTCGTGTCCCACCTCTTTTGAGAGATTTTGACAATTCTCAAAAACCTCTTTCCTCCAACCACCCTTCCCCACTTTCCCTGGACCTCTTGCCTCCTCTTCCCTCTCTTCTTGCAAATCCATTCCTTTGCTAGTAACACACTCGCACTCATACCCCCCATCCCCCCTCCCCTCTCTATCTCTCTCTCTCTCCCTCCTCAGCCTCACTTCCGTCGACCCCTCTATGAGGCCCCTCATCTCACATGGACCCTGCAGGTGCTCCCCCTTCCCTCCCCCTCCCACATCTTTCTCTATCCCCACTCTGCCTTTCCGTCTCCCCCCCTCTCGCTCCCCCTCTCTCTATGTTTCTCTCTGTCACTTTCTTTCCGCACCGCCTCCCACCCACCCGAAGCACACATACCCGCTCTCTTCCCACGTCGCAGCGTGTTCTTGCATCTCCCTCGTTCATCCTCCGGCACTCACCGTCCTTCTCACTCCCGCACCCCACGCCCCCCTCCTGAACCCCTCCCTCGCCCTCACACCATGCTTTTACCCCATGTGCACACTCCCCCCCCTGCCCCCATGACCCCAGCACACCACGTTTGGCGATTCCTTCCACTACTTCCTGCTCCACCTCGCCAAGGTGCGCTCCAAGGGCTACCTGTGCCAGCTAGTATCCACCCTGGGCTGAGTGGCTTGAATGGGCTGAATGGTCGCTAGTGGCAAGCAACGGGAGATGGGATGAGGGCATAGGAGGAAAGGGGGTTCAGGGTGGTACGTGGGGGTGGCTGGGTATACAGGGCACGCAGGGGGGTAGGGAGGTTCTCGGCTGGGCCCAAGGTACTGGGTCGTGTCTCAGCGACTCAGCGCATGCAGTTGACACTCTGATGGTGCATAAAGCATTCAAGTGGGATGGGCTATGGATGCCGTTGCCGGTGCCAGTGCCAGTGCCAGTGCCAGTGCCGGTGCCAGTGCCAATGCTGGTGCTGATGCCGGGTCCGATGCGTGTGTCTCCTGTGTCCCACAAGCCCCCCTGTGCCTTCCCTCCTAGCTCTGGCATTCCTGGATACACTCCCTGCTCGATTGTGCTCTCATGTCTCAGCCATCTCCCCCTCACACATTACCCTATTCGCCCTCCCGCATTCTCCCTGTCTTGCAACCCTCCACCTGCTATTCAGGGAACGCGCACGCCCACAGTCACAGACACTCCTGCTGCTCCTGCGGCTGATGCAGCTGCTGCTGCTGCTGAGGAAGAGTCGGGCCTAGTGATAACCTTGGAGCAGTCCTCCTCACATGCCGTGCCATTAGAGGACCTAGAGCACCAGTACATGGACTCTGATGACTTCTTCGCCCACTGCTCTCTCGGATTGGATTAGTGCTGCTGTGCTGCCTGTGCTGATAGAAGGGCACTCTACAAGCTTGCATTCATATCAATTTTGCTTAATTTATGTGCAAATTACGGCTTGAGCGTAGGTTAACTGTAGATCATCCATCGGCTGCGCGCCAAGCCGACAGATCCCCTCCAGCCACTCCATTCCTCTCCACCTCCACTCCACTCTCTCGCTCTTCAGCCCCTCAGCCAGCTATGGCTGCTCGGCCCCTTGCCCTCCGAATTCCCTCCGCCTTTACTCCGATCACCCGCACTCCTTCCCCAATCCCCCGCATTCGCCGCTCCGCTTCCGCTTGCGCGCTCCCTCGTACCTCTCCGCGCAGCTGCCGATCGCGCACCATCCGCGTCCCTCCGCCGTCCGCGCATTCTCCGTCGTCCGTCGCGTGCTTCCCCTCGCCTCTCCGCCGCCCAATTCCGCCAGCCCACCGCGCCTCCCCCGCAGGAAAATCCGCCCCAGGAGGAGCCTTGTCGCGCGCGGCGATTGTTCATTACTGCGCTTGCGATCGCCGCCACCGCAGCGGGGTGGCGCGCGCAACAGCCGCAATGGCGGAGGCGGGGGGGCTAATGGCGGGAGAAGGGGGGCAGCTGAGCAGCAGAGAGCGCAGCGGCAGCGAGTGGGGTGGCGGCGGCGGAGGCAGGGTGAGAGTGCGGCGGGTGGGGGAGAACCCCACCGAGATAATCGATCTGCCCGCGCTGCCCGCGGAGACACACTCTCCCGCGGATGACCGCAGCGGCTCTCCCCGCGCCCAACCCTCACCAGCAGACCGCGCAGCGGCAGCGGCAACGGCAGCCGCGGATGGCATAGTGGGGGAGATCCGCAGCAGCATCACCGGCGCGTCTTCCCCCGGGTTACCCCCGCCCGCCGTGCTAGTGGTGCCTGGGAATCCCGGCGTGTGCGCGTACTACGAGGACTTTGCGCTCGCGCTGCACTCCGCGCTCGGCGGAGCTGCGCGCGTGGTGGTGGTGGGACACGTGGCGCACACTGAGCGGGAGATGGAGGACGGGCGGCTGTACTCGTTACAGCACCAGATTCAGCACAAGATCAGGTTCGTTCAGGAAGAAGCGGCTGCTGCTGCTGCAGGAGAGGATGGGGAGAACCAAACCGCGTACCAACAACAAGGACAGCAGCAGCAGCAGCAGCAGCAGCAGCAGCGGTGGATAGTGGTGGGGCATTCCATCGGCGCGCACATAGCAGTGGAGATGCGGAGGCACCTCCCCACCCACGTGGCCCACGTGGTGGGGCTCTTCCCCTTCCTGGCCTTCAACCACCACTCCGACCAGCAGCGCCGACTCAAGCTCGTGGCGTCGCTCACGCCGCTGCTTGCAGTGGTGGCGGCGCTGCTGCAGGTGCTGAGGGCGCTGCCCACAGGGGTGAAGCGGTGGGCGGTGCGGCGTGGCGTGGGGAAGGCTTGGAGCAGCAGCGCCGTGCATGTGACTGCCACTGCCATGCTCAGGGTGCGATGTGTGCACACACACACACACTCACACATGCACACGGACATGCATGCAGATGCACATGCACATGCACACACGTTCACAGACATGCACACACTCTCACACACACACGCGCACCCGCGCGCACGCACACACACACACGCACACAGGTGGTGCCCTGCTCTTTGGGTGCTCCACATGAACTGGCTCATGCTTCGTATCCCTCGCTCCGTATGCCCCATCTGGCATCCGCATGAGCACAGTCCGCGCTTGGTTCACCCTTGCACATGAACCATGCTCCACTGCATCTCTCTCCATGTTGCACACCTCCCTCTCCTCTGAATGACTGGATTGCATGCTATGTCCCCTGGACTTCCCCACTCCGGTTCCTGCTGTGTGCTGCATGCTGCCCTCTGCAGTACGGCATGCTGCGCAACTATGCCTACATGGGCCACACGGAGTTCATCTATGTAAGCGCCTATATCGCCTACATCGCCTACAGCACCTACAGCGCCTACATTGCCTACATCACCCATTCAGCCCACATGCCTCGCGCCTGCCTCTTCTCTTCCCACCTCCCCACCCGCACCCATGATGCACATGTCAGTGCCTGCCGCGTGCACCCTCAGTCCCACTGCTGCACCGTTCTTTATTCCTGCCAACCACGTCCACGTTGTCTGTCTACCTTCCCACGTCATCCCACCCAGCAGTGACAGCACTCCCGGCACCACACGCATCCATGGCCCCTTTCTTTCTCATTCCCCCCACGCCCCTTGTGCACGCAGTTCTCTCAGCGCGAGTTCGACTGGGCGTTCCTGGGTAGCAATGCGCCGCACTTCACGTTCATATTCGGCCGCGACGACCACTGGGGCCCTCTGCACTTGCACCAGGAGGTGGGTGGGGTCACTGGGATCACTGCTTGCTTCCCACAAGAACGTTTCACTCTATTACAAGTCAGAGTGCTTCAAAGACTGTAGAAGGTGGGGGGGGGGTATGTTTTACTTCATCGGAGGGGGTGGGAGAATGGGTGGGGGGAGTCTACTCGCTGGGCGGTTATGACTATGATACATGTGATTGATTGAATGGTAGGGTTATGTATTGAAAGAAAGGTAATATATAGGGTGTTGGTGGGTGGGTTCGATTCAGGGGCAGCTGTAATTCAGAAGTATTACACTTGCCGTATCATGATTGAGGGTGGGGTTCATCTGAGGAGTCAACAACGAGTACGCATGGTGCAGTGTGGTACTTTACCTTGCCATACGAGTACGCATGGTGCAGTGTGGTACTTTACCTTGCCATGGTGCCATACCATGCCCTCCATCGCCCATATGGTGCATCCTCCCCTCTCCGTTGTGTTGTCAAGCCATCACATATGGATGCTTAGGTCAGCCCTCTCTCTTGCATATGCACCCGTGCATCATCACCCATGTGTCATCACCCGTGTTTCATCACCCGTGTGTCATCACCTGTGTGTCATCACCCGTGTGTCATCACCCGTGTGTCCTTGCCCGTGTGTCATCACCTGTGTGTCATCACCCGTGTGTCATCACCCATGTGTCATCACCCGTGTGTCATCACCCGTGTGTCCTTACCCGTGTGTCATCACCTGTGTGTCATCACCCGTGTGTCATCACCCGCGTGTCATCACCTGTGTGTCTGTGCCACAGATGCAGGAGAGGGTGCCGCAGGTGGCGGCGTATGTGGATGAGGAGGGCCATGAGCACACCTTCTGCTGCACCGACAAGGGTGCCAGCAGCATCGCAACGCATGTCGCCAAGCTGCTGCGCTCGCGAGGCACACTTGCCGCTCTTTAGGCGGTCCAGCAGCAGTTGCATGGCAAGCGCTTCAGCTTGGGTCAAGCAACGAGTATCATGGTCGTGTGCACGCACTTGTGTGCCAGAGCGTGCGTGCGTCCACCGGCCCGGAACATTTCTCAAAGCTGATAGTTGTTTTATCCTTTTGTTATGCCGAGGACGGATGCCTCAAGGAGCCGTAGAAGCATGGGAGGGAGATTAGGGAGACCACTGTCCTACTCAAGTTTTGGATCCACATTTTGTGTGTTCAGGGCTTGTGTGCTGTTAGGGAAACCACTGTCCACTGGTGGATTGAGTGGTGCACACTTATTCCAGCATCTGGCCATGGACTTGCCTGAGTTAAAGACAAGTCTACCACACGGGCGGTTTCAGTAGCTGCCAGAACTTGATGAAAAATAGGGACTAAACTACATCAACAAAGGGCATATAATCACATGAGTCAACCGGAAAACCCCTCCTCGGCTTGCTTACAGAGCTCCCTGTGCCACATTCAGCTCCGTTCTCTCTCAGGCTTCCGACCAGCATTACACACACACGGAAAACTCCGCTACTAGTCACGGCCTCGAGTCCTGCTCTAGTCACGCTGATGGCCGCTTGCTTCGGCCAAGCCGACACATGAGGCATTTCTAAACCACTCTCATCCCAAACGACAACCATGGCCGCTTTCCCTGCTGCCCTACCCCCCATCTCCCCCAACTTCCTCCCCTCCCACCCCCTCCCCCCCCCCCGGCGCGCTACTCCTCGGGCGGCGGCTGGTCGGGGTCCTTGTCGGGGTCGATCTCGGGGTCCTTGCGCTCCTCGTCCTCCTCCTCCTCGTACGGCGGGTCCGCTGGAGGCGGCTGCGGCAGCGGCGGCTTCAGCGGCGAGAACTGCGGAAAAATGTCCGGTCTCCGCCCGGGGGCGGGCCGCTCCCATTCCTGCCAGGGGCGGAGGTGAGGAGTGTGGGGAGGGGGGGGAGGGGGAGAGGGAGGAGAGAGGGGAAAGAGGGGAGGAGGACCAGGGGGAAGGCGGCGCAGGGGAGGGGGAAGGAAGAGGAATGAGGTCACTGATCACATACACATGAGAAGGCCCTGGAAGGAATCAAGAGGAAAGCCAGCCCGCTGGCAAATGCGGAACACTGGCTCGGCTCTGGACTTGGTGGCAAGTGGTGAAGTACTGGCTTCGAATACGGGACACTGCAGCGGTGTGTCCAGCACGCTGGGCCTCGTGACAACTCGGCCATTATGCTCGGATGCTTCGCACGTACTACCCCGTTTTACCGTTCGCCCTACTCGCTAGCAAGAGAACAAAAACCTCTGATACGGCAACCTTGGATAACCTAAACAAACCGATAATAAAGAGAAAACAAAAACAAAAAAACCTTCCTGAGTGAAAACTAAACTGACAAGCTATCTAGGGACCGCCTCAAGCCAAGCCGGTCGGAAGGACAGCCGAGACCAGTGGCTGTATAACTGCGCTCTCCGAATTATTAGCATATCTCGTGCTCCTAGTTACATCTGGCTGGAAATCATTTTTCTACTAAATTAAACGATCGCGGAAAGGCAGGAATGAGAGAAAGGCAACAGGGGGAAAAGAAGAACGAGAGAAGGCCGAAAAGGGTCGAGGAAGGGAGGCTGAACAGGGGGGTAAGGCCACAACGCGAAGCCACGGGTGCAATAAACGAGGGGAAGGCAATAAAAGAGTGAGGAGGAACGGCCTACCACAGGGAAGTCGAGCGGCGAGCGCTTGGTCATCTTCTCTTCGTCTGGCGCCATCCTCGTTACCATCCGCTTCGCTCCCGCTTGTCTCCTCCCCACCGACACCCTCGAGCATCCCAGGAACGACGATTCGGTGCAGCTCCCGCCGACTTGCACGCGCGCGCACGACGCCACGACTCCATGCGACGACTGGTGCTGCGACGACGGGGCGATGCTCGCGTGCAGAGCCTGCGACGACGACATGGCGACGCAACGCACAGCCGCTAGCGCGGCCATTTTAAACTGATCAGGATCACAGGGAAGTTGTGGAAGGGCTCTCAAGGTGTCGAACCTATCAGTAAAAGCTAATCAACAACCACAAAAACGTGGTGATCAGAAAAGAGGAGCTTTGGAATTGACGTGAAGGTTGAGCTCAGATAAGGGGATGAGGGTTTCTTGGGTTTGGCGGGGGATGAAAGACTCGAGGCTCGAGGGGACTTGCTACAGCAGTAGGCTCGACCTGGGCTCGAGGGGACTTGCTGACGTGTCTGCGCGGACGTGGCTGGGAAGGGAGCTTTGCGAGACGAGAGTGGGGTTGGTATCCTCTCTGGAGGTTTCGATGTGGAAAAGCATTGGTGACGTGGCATTTTGTGGAAGGCAGGGGATGACGAGACCATGGAGGGCAATCCATTTTCCTGGCGCGTGACTGCAACGCAAAGCATCCGTTTCTGTCACCGAGGGACAAAAGAGGACACGAGGACAAATTGGAACCACTCTGATTAGCAGCTAGGTAATAACAATACTACTAGTGAAAGTGCCTAGCAGAAGGGTGCTCCCCTACGTGAAGTAGGCAATTAAGTGTATGAGTGGGGGTGAGAGGGTGTGCAGGTGGTGGGTGCATGCATGGGTGTAGCACCCACCCCATTGCAAGTACAGCCACTATCCTATGCCTCGCCCACATAATGCCCCCAATGCATGAGTAACAAAAGAAACAAGTACTACCATTCATTTCTTTCAAGTAATGGCCCCACTGCAGTAGGGATAATGCCCCAATGCAGTAGGGAGGACAGTAGCGTTGAAATTGCTAGAAAACGAATCCCAAACCAGCAGAACATGAAGGCATGTACAGAGAATTCCTTAGCATCATGGCTCAGCTGTGGGCCCAGCCTAGTCTCTCAGCTTCAAGGGCTCCAGGCCTCTCTGCCCCACCCCTTGGCACGACTCTCTCAGTTCCCCGCAGTTAAGAAGAAAAGCATCGTCAGGAAGAGCAAGAAGTGCGCCAAGACTGAGCGACAGCCCCCTCTCTGCCGCCATGCGAAACCGGGGCTGAATGCGCCCGTCAAGGCTGAAGGAAAAGAACTGCGGGAAGGAAAGAACCTCCTTGACAGAGCGTCGCATGGGGCCTGTGAGGAACTCTAGCTTGGGCGCCAGGTTGCTCTGGATGCTGTAGTTGAAGATGGCGGGGCAGCGCGCCAGCACCCGCTTCGCCTCGTCCGCCGTGAGCCCCTGCTCCTGCAGGAAGCTCAGCCGCGGCAGCAGCTTCTGCTGGGGATCCACGCTCAGCAGCGACGGGTTGTTCACCACCGCCTTGCCCAGATTCTCCACGCCCGTGGAGCGAAGGAACTCGACGGCCGGCCGGAGCACCGTGTCGATCGGCTGCGCCAGCAGCGCGGGACAGCGGGAGATTACCTTTTTCACGTGCGCCCTGTCCAGGCCGAGGTCGCAACGCAGGAGACTCACCACGGGGCGCAGCCGCGCGTCGGCGCTGAGGGTCAGAATCTGCGGGCAGCGGTGCACGACGCGCTCGATGTCGCGCGGCGTGCACATACCAACGTCGACGCGCAGGAAGTGAACGGCGGCTCGCATGACCGGCAGCGTCGTGTCCATGAGCGCTGGGCACTTAACGATGGCCGCTACCATGTCCACCCCCAGCTCCTCTAGAAACACTGCCCTCTCCCTCACGCCCTCGGGGGTCGACCGCCTTGCCTCCCTTGACTCCCGTGCATCCCTTGAATATCTCGAATCTCGCGAGTCTCTGGAGTCTCGTGAATCCGGTGAGTCCTGTAATTCCCGCGCTTGCGAGCCGTCTAGGTGCTGCAGGTACAGCTGCCACGCCATGGCCTCGCTCGACTGCGACAGCAGCGCTAGCGGCAGCAGCGGCGGCGCGCCGGAAGAGGAACCCCGGCCCAGGCTTTGCACGCCCCTTAGCGGCTTCTGCGGCTTTCTGACCGGTACGTGAGCTCTGCGCGAAGGCGTCACGTGCCCTGCTTTCCCATTCTGCTCCCATCCACTTCCGCAAGAAAACGGCGGCCCGACAGGTGCAAGCCGGAATACAGCTGCCTCCGGTAAGTCCGGCCGCTCTTGCCACAGGATACTGCTGCCGCTTGACAGAAGAGCTCTCCCGCTGCTGCAGGCAGACGCACTCGGACCGGCTTTCGTGGAATCGAACGCTGTCCGCTCGAGCGACCAGCCGTTGGCCGGCTTCAACCCTGACTGGGTGCAATCGTCGTCGAAGCAAAGGCTATGCGACGACGAACGGTCGGGCGACGCGACTCTCGGGCCCTGAGCGAAGCGCCTCGCGCCGTCGCTGGCCAGCACAGAGCTCTCCTCGATGATTGCCTGACTGGCGGAAAGGGCGGGCGCGGGGCACAGGCTGGCGGCCTCCGTGGTGGACGACAGGCGGCCGAACGACCTCGCCGCGCCGGACACGGCGGAGATGGCGCTCATAGAGTTCGCCATGCTCGGAACCGGACCCCGTCGGTTAGGATTGCGGCGAGGATCGAGGTAAGGCGCGGTGGTAGGCAGGCTCCTGAGGGACGAGATGATTAGGAGCTAAGGATGCATGGAGCAGGGAGGTGCTGGAGGGCACTGTCCGCGTGGTAGCTTAGCTTGGGTGCAGCAGCTGCACAGGACGAGCACAGGAGAGGAGAGAGATTCGACCAGACAGCAGCAAGAGAAACTCGAGAGTGGAGCAACTCTGCGGTGTTGCCCAGCGGCGGAGGGAGAGCCCGAGGTTCCCTGCTTCCTCCCTCCCCTGAGCCAAGCAATCCCAGCACGAGTCACCCCCCAGGCGAACAAGCAGTGCTCCCCCAACGGGTAGTGGATGCGGCAGCTCCTCCGGGGGGGCTATGTGTGGGAATGAGATGCCTGCGATCAAAGCGCCCAATCAGCGGCTGCCACGAGGACTGTCCACCAGTCGCCTACCTTGCGTACACCAATGAGACGCCTTCGTTGCGAGCACATAGAGCATCAGCACTCCCTGTACCCCCTAAGGGGGGCATTTTTGTTCTTGGATAGCATTTCGCTGATGTAGGCAAATTGAAATTCATTCTTATATTTATGAGATTGTTACAGCTCATGCATGATAGAAAAAAATGAGAACTTTGAAAATAACTGGCATTTAGCTGATATTATCTATGGTTTAGCATTTAAAACAAGTTCTATTTAGTTCCAAACATGATATGGTTAGGTTCCATATAATAAAATTTGCCAAGATATAGTTGGGCGGGCATGCCATAGTAAATCGTAAACTGCAAGCTGTTGAATCAGTGCATCATCATAGATATATTGTATGCATCTTCAGCAGTCTCGTAGACTCATTCCCAGACTTCATTGTTTAAAGGATATCTGTCGGCTTCCGGGTGTATGGCTATAATAAACTACATGGCTAGCGCATGTAACTGTTTAAGTAAGAAAAATTGACTAGAACAGTACATACAGGGGTATATAGCCTAATGGGTTATACTCTCTAAGGCACAACCCTATATAGTCTACTGTAATATACAATATATGTTTGTATGTTTGACACACCCCATAAACTGGATAGGGGCAGTGCTTGATGAGAGAGGAACAGCTCAGTATGGCACTACTAGTCCAGCCTCTGAGGCAGGGGTCTAAAGACCAGTCAAACAAGTACATACAAGGCAAGAGCAAGACCAGGGTGGCACTACTAGTCCAGCCACTGGGAAGAGGCCACAAGGCCAGTCTGGGTAATATATGTAAAGGTCTATACACAATCAAGGTCCTACCAAATGAGAGGCTACATGAACGAGACCTAGCTGTACGTAGTGCCGCTGATGATCTTTAGGCGCAAGCGCCTTAGTAAAGATATCACCTGTGTTGGCACCGGAGGCCAAATGTACTGCACGAGCCTGGCGACGCTGCTGCAGCTCGCGCAGGAGGAAGTACTACAGCTGGAAGTGCTTCGCTCTGCCCTCAAGTCGTAGCTCCTGACACTGGAGGATTATGGCCCTGTTGTCAGCGTACAAACCCCGGCAGAGCTAGGTCGCTCACCCAAGTCGGCGAGTAAGAAGGTCAGCCAGCGGAGCTCTTGTGCCGACATGGCACTTACGTAGATCTCAGTCTCACAGCTAGACTGTCCAACAGACGAGGAGCGGGTGGACCTCCACGAGATGGCACCTGAACCAAGGCTAAAGCAGTAGCCCAGTGAGGACCTGAGAGTCTCGACATCGTCTGCCCAAGAAGCGTCTGTGTGCCCGATAAGGACCACTGGTCTCCGTCCTCCTAGCACTAGCCCCATGCCCGATGTACTCGCTAGATTACGCAAAACCCTCTTAGCTGCCGACCGGTGTTGTGGTCGGTGTCTGCTTTAGGCCACAAAGCGAGCCAGGATGCTGAGAGGATATGCGAGATCTGGACGAGTGCAAGTCACCAGGTACATGAGGCAACTCACCACCTCTGCGGAAGGACCACTGGGCTCTACTGACTCCTCAGGAACTCGAGCAGAGAGCCTGTGATCTACTGGAAGAGGTGTGGGCTGTGCGGAGGAGAACTAAAGAACGAACCTCTGAAGGACCTAGCGCACCAAGTGTGACTGGGTGAGAGTGATGGTGCGCGCTGCTCTGTCCCTGGAGATCTACAGGCCCAGGTAGTGGCGCAACTCTCCTAGGTCAGTACAGGTGTGTCTTCTCAGCAGCTCAGCCTTCACAAAGGCTAGCGCGGTGGTGTCTGCAGTGGCAAAGACCAGATCGTCTACGTAAACAAGGATGTAGAACGGAGTCTAGCCATAACGAACAAAGAGCGAGGGGTCTGCGGACGAAGGGAAGAACTGCAAGTCAGCAAGTGTAGCACGTAGCGTGTCGTGCCACTCACGGGGTGCCTGTCGCAAGCCGTAGACTGGGCGCCGGAGGAGCCACTCGAGGCCAAGAGGGAAGGTACCGGAGAAGCCATGGGGGCGGCACATGTAGACCTGCTCGTGTAGACTGCGCTGGAGGAACGCGGTAGAGAAGTCGAGGGAGTGCAGCTCGTAGTCACGCTGTGCTGCTACGTGTAGCAGCGCGCGAAGAGTGGTCATCTTTGGGGTCGGGGCGAAGGTCTAAAAGAAGTCCACCCCCTCACGCTGACTGAAGCCTCGAGCGACGTAGCGTGCCTTGAAGACATGCGGCTCTCCCGGAGAGCGCTTCACCTTGAGGAGCCACCGGCCATCGACTACGTTCACCCCAGGTGGGGGAACTGCGTCAACGAAAGTACCGATGGATCTCCAAGATGCCATCTCCTGCTCCATGTCAGCTATCCACTGATAGGCCCATGGCCCCGAGGTGGCCTCAGCGTAGGTGCGAGGCGTCGGGATGTCGAGGGCGTCTGGGTCACCCTCAGGGACTAATAGCATGGAACAGAGATGGAGAGCGGCCTCAGACTGGAAAGCGAGCTCGAACTGCCTGTCCTCTAGAACGTCACTGCCAAGAGCAGCCACACCCCCGACGGTCGGAGGGCAGGCACGGTCAGAGACCTAAGCGGTGGCGTAGTCCAGGCAGCGGGTAGCGACGAAGTTAGTGACAGCAGCGACAAGAGCCGACAGACTCGAGACAGGAACGGACGGGTCGGTAACGAGAGAGGCAAGGACACATGGATTAAGGGGACGCGCAGCACGGAGGAAGTTCGAGAACGGAGGTGGGGCCACAGCAAGCGATGCCGGAGGAGGAGACGGGAGGAGAGGAGGAGCACAAGACGCGTGAGAGCAAAGCAACATACGGTGAGAACGCGGAACAGGGGAGGTAGGACAAGCACGAGACGGACGACGAGACCAGACGTGAGACGGAGGAGTCGGGTCAAGAGAGAGGGGAGGAGACAAAGTAGGAAAACAGGTAGGGAAACAAGCCAGAGAGGAGTCCGGGGGAGGAAGCACGGGGCCGTGGACCGGCAGAGGAGGAGGCAGCGGCAGTGGGGGAGGCATCGACGGGCATTCAGGGGAAGGGAGACCACGGAGGCGAAGAGCGGACACGGGCGGCGACAGATGTAACTGCTGCCTGACACCAATACCAGAGACTCTAGCAACAACACGGCTCCCTCCGAGAAGCCCAACGCCAGCACCCCCAGAGCCCACTCCATAACCAGCTCCAGCCCACTCCCCAGCACCCCCAAGTTGCACGAACCCCAGCGGCGGTGACAACGGCAGCTACGGCTGCGGCGGCAGCGGCGGAGGTGGTTGCGGCGGGGACAGCAGCGGCGGCGACAGGGGAGGCGAGACCGGGGTAGGGACAGGCGGGGGAAGAGACTTTGCCAAGCCGTGATAGTCAGCGGACTCCTCAGCAGGGACAACCGATGGGTGGGGGGTGACGTGAGACACACCAGACGGGGCAGGGTGGGGAGGGGGGTGGACAGGGTCGACCGGGGGAGGGGGGGGCACCAGGAACTTGGGGGGAGTGACCGGGGGACCACGGTGGGGAAAGCGGTGGTAGAAGGAGATGGACTTGTCAAAAGTGACGTCACGAGAGTGGAAGAACCGGTGGGAAGGCGGGTGGTAGAACAACCAGTCCGACGAGTCGAGGGGGAAACCTATGAAGACACAGGGGACAGTGCGGGCAGTGAGCTTGTCCATGCTAGAGGCACGAACGTGAGTAAGGCAGCCCCAGACGTGGAATGCAGACGCGTCCAGAGGAGGGTCGGCGAAACCTGCGACAGCCGAGGGTGCGGTCAGAGGTCAAGCTGGTGAGCGGCGTAGCGAACGGCGAACGGCCACAGAAAATAGGGTTTACCGGCATGGATCATGGAGGTACGAGCAACCTCCATGACCAAATCGATGCTTCACTCAGCGACCCCATTCTGCTGTAGGGAGTCCGGCAGGGTGAACGTCTGGGTCATGCCCTCCGCACGAGAGAAGCGACCAAGGCAGTGAGAGGCAAACTCGCCACCACAGTTGGAGTGAAGATGCAAGACAAGGAGACCTCGGTGAATACGCGCAGAGACAAGCCACGGGAGAAGAACGTCAGGCACGTCGGCCTTCCGCTCTAGGGGAAACACGGTGGTGTAGCGTGTGTAGTCGCCGACAAGCACTAGGAATTAGCGCTCGCGACGCGGCCCATGGACGGGGGCGAGGCCCCAGACGTCCATGTGCAGGGTCTGCAGCAGTGCGGAGGTAGGGGGGAACGAGGAGGAGTGAGGGGCACGGCGGAGCCGGCCCTCGACGCAGGGTGTGCACGGAGGCGCGGATGAGGAGGGGAGCGCAGGGAACGACTAAGGGAGGCATAGGACAAGACGGTGCTGGGATATGTGACGGAGACGGGTGAGGGTGGGGTGACCTAGATGGTGGTGCCACAGAAGTGACGGGTGAGTAAGCGACCGACACGAGCACACTGCAGCAACCTAGGAAGACGCAAGTACCTGGGGAGGCGTCCCAACCAGGGGGGAAGCGGTGTCCATCGTGAACAGGCCAGACACCGGGTCCCGGGGGAACGTGGTGAGGGGGGCACCGGTGGTGGCCTTAGTACAGACAGCGTACCGCTCGTGCCCAAGGAACGTAGTGGAGACGCCAAGGTCCTGGAGGCAGCCGACACCAACTAGGTTCCTAGAGAACGAAGGGATGTGCAGGCGTGTAAGGGAGCCTAAGGGAACCGCTGGACAGGGGAGAGTAGTGGAGGTACGGGCAACTACAGGACCAGAGGAAGGGTCTGCAAGAGCAACTGCAGCCGGAGCGGCAAGCGGCGTAAGCGTAGTGGAGTCGCGAAAGAAACAC